CCTCGAATTCTCTCCTGACTTGTATTCAGAAGAACCGAGGAAAATAGAAACACGGTAAAAAAGGTTCAGAGAGAGAGAGAGAGAGAGCAATTGGCAATTGAAATTATTATAAAAAAAGAAGCAAAATTTGCACATATCATCCTCAATATATAGGATTTAGGTCAAGTTAGTTCTCATTCTATTTCTTTTGACAACACCCTCCTCGATGTAGGACTATATTGGTTCAAGTGCAAAGTAGTCCTCTTTCAAATGGATTCCCATCCTTTTTCAAGATAAAAATTGCACGTTACTTGTATCCTCCTCATAATGTTCAATTCTTTAGACAATACGTCCCTATTTAATCTTCATTTCTTAAAAATTTATTTTTCTTCAAATTTATTTTCAACCACGGATGCCCCTCAAATGTAAAAGGAAAATCTTGGCGGGACTAAATATTTGCAATAAAAGTAGTCAATAGTTGAACGAATTGCTTCCTTCCAATACACACATCTTCAAATAGAATGCCGAATGCAATTGGTCGTTCGTCGATTTCATAAATATTGGATAGTAAACTTTGTTGATTTAATACAAAAGTTTCGAAGTTGTTGAAATGATAGCTTAGGTACAGTTGAAAAAACCATACATTTCTTTGAAACTCCACACATGAGATAGATCGACTTACCTGTCCCAACCGTAATAACACAAGTTGGTTGCAATTTGAAATGCACCATGGGATCACCAGAAAAATAAATAAATAAATTCTTATCTATGTTTATCACTTACACATAAACCCAGAACGACTTAGCATTCGAGTGTAGAAGACATAGAAATGGAGCCTGAGTTGATTTTTAGCGGATTTTGTCGTTACACACTACATCCTAATCAAGTCTGGGGTATTCGGGCATTTTCAAAGAGTATGAGACATTATTTAACTCAATTTAGTAAACTGCATTTCCACCACAATTTTCTCAAAAATTAATTGTATTTTACTTCAATGAATGATTATGAGTTAGTATAAGTTTTCATTTGATTTTGCAATTTATTAAATATACAATTGTAGCTATATTAGTCAACTAATTACAAAATTGAAAATTTATAAGCTACTTCGTATACACAAATCGGGTGATATTGCAACTCGCAAGTGATTTTCATTGCCTACTATCCCTCAATTTCTTACTCGATAAAACTTGTTAGTCGAAGTTGACACTTTCCACTTACACCATAACTATAGAAAGAAAGTAAATATAACCTTCTCTTGGTTTTATACTTAGTGTTGAATTAAAATAAAAATAAAAAATAAAATTTTACTAACAACTAATGTAATTCAGTGAGGAAAATTACAAGTTTCTAGTAAGAAAAAATTTGTTAATTGTAGCATAAAATTCAAGGGGCTTTATGTTCAAACACAACGTTATACAAGATTATTACATGCATAGATAAAATTATTTTACAAATATAATCCCAACTAACTTTATTTTCTAAATGTAGTGATATTAATTGTTAGAAAACTATATATAAAGTTACTAAGCCCTTGTTTGAGCCCCATTTTTTTTTTTTAAATACATTTTTAAACAATGTTTTGATATCATTTCAATCACACATTTTTCAATAAAATAATATTACACGAAAAAATAAAAATTTTTCTTATTTTTTAACCACACATTTCACATCATTAAACTATTCAAAAATACATTTTCTTGACAAAAATGGGGCTCAAACAAGGGCTAAAATTATTTTGGAAATAAAATCCCAACTAGCTTATTTTTCTAAATGTAGTGATATTAATTGTTAGACAACTATATATAAAGTTACTAAGCCCCTATTTAGTTTCGCTAAAAATCAAAATTTTAGTAAATTTTGGCCAAAAAAAGAAAAGATGAAATATATGATTAAAAGTTGATAAAAATTGCAGGTCTCATAAAATATGGGGTTAAAATTAATTGTTAATTTATTTTAAATTTTTATCAATTTTGTGACTACCCAAAACATAGACTAAATAGTCAAACTGCGTCCAATATTGTTAAAAACTAATGAGTCAATGGTTCCAAACTCGTTAATTAACTCGCTTCACATCAAAATTAGTTATAGGTTAGTCACTTAGCAGAGTTTTGTAGCTCGAGGCCAGATCATGTTATAACGTAACAAGAAAACACACCACATCGACGATGGAAACTATGTTATTCATGCACAAAAACCCATCATTAAATAATATCAAAGGCGCAATAAAGTTTTTATTAATACTAATACAAATAATTTTGTCATTGATACAATACAACAAATTAAGAAACTTATAACCAATTTAGATTTTATTCATTTATCATTAGAATTATCTATTTAACCCATACAACCTATCACTTTATCATTGAAATGTCTCTTGCAAAGAAATATAGTCGTTTTTTCCAATAAATTTTGATTTTTTAAAATCATCCTGAAATATAACAGGGCTAAACTTCTAGCTAGGTCTAGTTGCTAGAAATGCTTGTGTTCTGATAAAAGTTTGGGGGCATGCTTGGAGTGCAGGGCCTGTATACGGGGGGGCCGAGTTGGCCCCATACACGCCTGTACAAGGGGCCTTATCCTAAAGTTTGTTCATTTAAAGCTTGGGGTATAAAAAGTGAGTGATGGAATGTAACGTATGCCATGGATTTGAAGTTGGGAAGATGTGTCGTTGAAATTGGAATGTGTCTTTTAAGTGTAAACTTCCAAGTTCACCAATCAGACAAACTTAAAATGCAGTGCTAAGTTAGTTACTTTAGAACTTGATACTCATTTTAAGACTTATCGATTTTTATATAAAAACAAAAGATATTCTTTTCTGTTTTAATCATGCAAGAATTTGGGCACTCACTTTCTTAATTTCAGATTCTTATAGCAAAAGGGGAGATGACATGGCCCTGTCCGTCCAATGGTTCCCCCTCGAACAGGGGGTGTCTGTTGGACCGACGTCCTGTTTGGACAGGGCGTGTCCAAGTATCTTTATCCAGCAAAAAATCCTTATTTGACTTTAGGATAAAAGCTTATAGTTTGATCATCATACGCCACTTCAACCACCGATGAGGACTAAATAAGTTGTTCGTTCCACCCCGAAAAAAAGACCACACTATCAAATTAAGATTTTCACTAGTTTTTAATTTTAACTCGTAGGTTAGATACATATACTATGATGAGATAATATAGAAAGAAGGACGTGCTTCCCACTTTCTCACGCGCACGCAACTCATGAAAACCCTAATTTCCAAGACGTCTCTTTAACGATTCTTTGTGTGCTTTAAAGAAAGCGACAAAGAAAAAGACAGATTATCGAAAACTTTGACGCAATAAAACACGCATCTCCACCACCAAAACCGAAGAAAACACAATGTTTATTCCATTATTAAATGCACTAAAACCTTCATACATTAGCTTAATTAACGCTTGTTTTCTCTCTTAATCACTTCCATAACTTGATTTCAGATGAAAATATGATCAGATAAGGATTAGATATTCTGATCATATATACTACACAAATTTGAGAGCAATTTGGAGTTTGAATCTGGTAATTAAATGGCAGCAAACAACAGGTGGTGGACAGGCCAAGTAAATCTATCAGGAGTGGAGTCTTCATCTCCACCTCTTAAGAAACCAGATCTTGGCATATCCATGAACGAGAATATTGGTTTTCTACCAACTTCATCGTCTCTGAACAAGCCAGATCTGAGCATATCTATGAATGAAAACATGGGAAATGGTGGACGTGCCGACGAAGAGGAAAGAGAACACAGCGAGGAGCCTAAAGAGGGTGCTGTTGAAATCCCATCTCGTAGGGCAAGAGGCAGACCTCCAGGTTCCAAGAACAAGCCAAAACCACCAATTTTTGTGACCAGGGACAGCCCTAATGCCCTTCGCAGCCACGTTATGGAGGTGGTGAATGGGTCCGATGTGGCAGAGAGCATCGCACAGTTTGCGAGGAAAAGGCAAAGAGGAGTTTGTGTACTGAGCGCAAATGGAACAGTTACAAACGTGACAATTAGACAGCCTTCTGCTCCTGGCGCAGTCATGGCTCTACATGGCCGGTTTGAAATTCTGTCTCTGACGGGTTCTTTCCTCCCCGGGCCGGCTCCGCCGGGATCGACAGGGTTGACCATATACTTAGCTGGGGGTCAGGGACAGGTGGTGGGAGGTAGTGTTGTGGGTCCTCTGGTGGCTGCTGGTCCGGTCATGGTGATTGCATCCACGTTTTCGAATGCTACATATGAGAGATTGCCTCTGGAGGAGGAGGAAGAAGGCAGCGGTGGCGGTGGAATTACCGGGCCTGGACAGCTTGGCAGTAGTGGCGGTGGCGGATCACCTCCAGGGCTGGGAATTAGTGGGGCAGCACAGCAACATGGTGGTATGGGCGATCCATCATCTTTGCCTGTATATAATATTCCACCAAATTTGCTTCATAATGGCGGACAGTTGAACCATGAATCATTTGCTTGGAATCATGGCCGCCCTTCTTACTAAAATAAGAGAGAGAAAACTACTTTCTTGTGAAAGAATGAGATTGAAGGTTTGATGTGTATATTAATTGTCTTCTCATAACTCTGATCCAACTTCGTTCTACATAAAATTCTGCATTTTATTGCTTTCTATCATCATATATAATCATCATCATCTCCTTCTTCTTCTACTGGTTACTTTTTTTTTTTTTTGTCTCTATGGTATAAACTAGGATGCACAGAAACTTCTAGAACACTAGCGTTTCCATTTCGAACATGTTTTTAAATGTTTTGGAAACTTAAGAAATTAGCATTTGATAGACTCCTGGAGTCACTACTCTTTAATTGCATATATAGAGTCTTGTTTTATAGATTGGTAACAATTCTATTATATTTTGCATATATTAGTTTAATTTCTTTAACAAATCAGTAAGAGGTGGAGATGGTCAGAAGAAGATAACAGCAGAAAAAGAAAGATTATTCTTGAGGTTAGGGTTTTTATTTTATTTTACCTTTTGTTTTTCTTTCAAATTAAAACTTATATTCTCCAAATAATATCATTTTAGGTGCATAATATTGCCTGAAATTCATGCTTAATACTATATTGTTTGCTTGAACAATATAATATGTGATGCTGAATTAGTAACTGAAACCTCAGACAGTCAGACTACGGTTTCCCTAGAGATTTTAATTTAATTTCCAATATTTAATTACTAATCAACAGATATTGTGAGGCTGTTAAATAAATTTGTTAGTAAAAATATTGTTAAATAATCAACAATATTTAATTAAGCCTATGTTTGATAGTATTTATAAATTCAGTCAAAATTAAATATAATTTCAACCCCACATTCATAATACTATTTATTATTATCCATATATTTCTTAAGACTCGCTACTATATATTCATCTTACATTCCTCTTTATACCCATTTATAACTTTGTTAAACAGAGGCTAAATATATGATTGGAATTTTTTTTTTAAAATGTGATTGGGTAATGATACATTAATCCCTCTAACAAAATATCTAAGCAAGAAGAGAAGATATGTGAAAGAAAAAAAAAGGATATATAAACATTAACAAATTAAGAAATCCCATTTTCCTCTAATAATTATTGTTACTTAGGAGACTTGGTTCATTGTTGTATCTAAGCAACAAATATTTATTCAAATCTTAACATAATCAAATTATGAAAAATTCAATACATCCAAGTTTTAATAAAAATAAATAAACAATACCTACAA